TTGACCCATAAAAATAAAACATCACCAGCAGCAAGGTCACCTCAGAGAGATGATTTTCCTTGACTTCAAACGGCTCTGCACTACCTCCAGAAGAGGCGAGAGGAGGAACAGAAACAGTATCTGTTGTTCGTACATCTAGGCAAAGAGGCAGCTGTAAGGAGAGGCATTAAGCTCGGAGTCATTAGGCACAACAACACGCTGCTGGCGTTTTATCATCCAGCACCACATTCCTCAGCCTCTTCACTTATGAAGCTGTGGGAGGGCAGAAACCAGCGGCTCGTTCAGAAAAAAAAAAAACAGCTTTTCCTTTTCAAAGTTCAGAGTGATGCTCTCTCCTCTCAATGCCACCCTCTCGCTGCTGTATTTAAAGAAACCTGTGTGACACTGAACCTGACTAAATCTGTCAGAGGCAAAGCTGAGGTTTCAACCTGCTTAAGAGGCAAAGAGCAGGAAGGTACAGAAGGAGCTGGATACCGGCCGAAAAGTGCAGCTTCCTGCTTTAATACGTTTTCCTCGTGCATTTTGCAGATTGTAAAGAGCATTTATTAATGGCAGGCTTCAAATATGGAGTTAAATATGTTTACATGGGAGAGAAATATACCATTAATTCAGAAAAGCTCTGCACTTTCAGTTCAGAACAGCAGAAATGGCTTCATCTGCAGTTTTTAACGCATAAACTTTTTATGTTTTTACTCTTAACGAAGCATGACAGGCAAACACTGACAATAGTCCATGGCACAGACGGAAATCAGGGACCTGAACTTAAAATAATATAGAACAAACATTTAAAAATACTACAAATTTTTTGCATTTTCTGTGAAAAGAAAGAAGCTGAAGCTGAGTAGTAGTCGACAGAACATGAGCTACACTAAGCAGAAGCGTTGCAAAAAACTAAAACAAGCAACAAAGTAGCTAAAAGCTTAAATGAGCAAAAGCTAAACGCTTAAATGAGCAGAACACTAGCTAAAATCTAAAAATTGTAAACTGCAGCTGAACTGTAAAATTAGCAAAGCCGTAGCTGAAAGCTAAATTACCAAAACAGTAGTTAAAAGTTTAAGTTGGCAATACCCTGGGGAAAGCTAATGTTAGCAACAGTAGCACAAAGAGTACAATTAGCTAAACAGTAAGTATAATCTAAAACCAAGAAAACTAGTAGCTAAATGACTAAAGTATTTCTAGCTGTTGACCAATAGCTAAAAGTGGACAAGCTAAAATTACCTTGACAAAAACAGCTCAATTGGGGAATTTTATTTGAACTAAAATTAAATATTTTGAGAATTTTAAAGGTTACATAAATCAAAAGTCATAGCACCCTGTCCAGATCAAGCTGAAAGTTTTCATGTATGAATTATTAAAATACGACAAAGTATGAAGCGGTTTGATTATAAGGGTGGTGCAGAGGTCAGAGAAGGTGGGCCTTTGATCCGAGAGTCGCCAGTTCAACTCCCCAGACCGACAACATCAAAATGTGGGTGGGAAAGGTGAATTGCCCACACCTGCCTCCACCCTCATTTGCCCACTCTGGGCCCTTAACCCCCACCATCTCTCCCAGTTGCCCTAGATAGCAGCTCTCTGCTCCACACAGAAGGCTGTGGTAGCTCGGTGGTCTGTGGTTGCGTCAGGAAGGGCATCCGGTGTAAAAACAGTTGCCAAGTCTTCGTGCGAGTTATTTCGCTGTGACCCCTGAAGAAGGGAGCAGCCGAAAGAAGAAAAATGAAGCACTTTGCAAAAAATTTACAAAAAGCGTGAGAAACTATTAACAGGAAAACAAATGTGTGAACGCTGATTCAACATTCTCACAAAAAGACAAAAATCTGCTCTTATTTAGGAGAATCTTTCCAGAGATGACAATGTTTTACTGACTCTCACGTTGTGTTTGAACCGTAGTGACTGAGTGAGCAACGAGAAAATCCACGACCTCATTTCTATCAAACACAACCTTATCAACGCTGGTCTCAGAGGGAACACTATTTAATTGGTGTGACTTTTACGTTGCATTTTCTAATAACGAGCACTTCATTAATCCTTAAAATGAAGGATTGTGAGTGTTTGAGCTACAAAGGAAGGTGGAATGAAGGATCAAAGTCGCTGCCGTCTATTGTGAATGGATTAGGAAAATTTGGAAGACGCATGGAGACTTCCAAGGATCCAGCACAGAAAATCCCTCCAGGCTGAAAAAATAGCATTCTGAAAACTAATTAAGTGTTGTCAAACATGTATATGATCTTTGCTTAAAATCAGTAACATTTTAAAAACATGGATCAGTGGCATTAAAATATTAAATCTTATGATCAAGATGAATTTATGAAGCCAGATGACATACAGGTAATTTCCAGGAAATGCTTTGCTTGTTTCAGCAAGACAAAACGCATTTTTCTACTTTACAGCAGCAGAGCTCTTGTAAAAGATTACATATTTTAAATTGGATTTGTTGCAGTCCATACTTGTTACTTACTGAAAACATTTGGAAAGTTATTGAACAATAGCAACAAAAACACATTCATTACTTGTATTTAAGCAGTAAGCAGCAAATACACAGCATTTGAAATATACTGTATTTCTAACAACCTAATGGAAGATTTAATACTTAATATTCTGTTGTTGTTGTTGTTTTTATTGTATTTAATTGTTTGTAGAAAAAAAAAACTTCATTGATTTTTTTAGGCAGTTTTCTCTAAATTAGTGTCCCTCCAACTTTTTATTGCACCATGGACTAATCTCAAAGATAATAGTTCTACGGACTAGCAGAAAACGCATGTTCTCCAGTGAAGTCTGTTTTTCAATTGTTTTTTAAAAAAAGACCAATTAATGTAAACATTCAATGTAAATATACAAACAATCCAAGGACCAGTGTTGATCCCTTGACCTTGGAGACCCCTAAACTGAGTTCAAAATCTTACTTCGAACCTACAAAGCTCTCAACAACCTAGCTCCATATTATATTGCAGATCTTATTGTTCCATATTTTCCTAACAGAGCACTTGGCTCTCAGACTGCAGGTTTACTTGAGGTTCCTAGAGTTTCCAAAAGCAGAATGGGAAGAAGATCTTTCACTTATCAGGCTCCTCTCTTGTGGAGCCAACTTCCAGTTTCTGTCCATAAGACTGACACATTGTCCAGTTTTAAGACTGGGATTAAGACTTTCATTTTTGATAAATCCTATAGTTAGGTTTGGCCTGTTATGCTGCCATAGGCTTAGACTACTAGAGGACAAATTGACCTAATTTCTTTAAATTAATTGTTACAAATGATTTGTTTTCATTTGATACTATTTCTATATTAACATGTGATTCTCCACCTGCCATTGTGTATCTGTTCCCAGTTGGTTGAAGCAGATGGCCGCTTGTCCTGAGCCTGGTTCTGCTAAAGGTTTCTTCCATTTGAGGGAGTTTTTCCTTTCCACTGTCGCCTTCAGGCTTGCTCAAGATGAGAGGTCTGTGATGGAGTTAAACTCAAAGCCGTCTGCTCCTCAGATAAATAATGTTATTAACTTATTTTATATATGAATGTTTCTGTTCAGCGCCCTGAGATGACTTCTGCTGTGATTGGTGCTATATAAATAAACTGAAATGAATTGAATTAAATGATTAGAAGCATTTATAGTATGTTATATTAAAAACAATATGAAAACAGAATGGCGGGGAAACACTTTTTTTTTTACTTCTTTTCAAGCCAAACCTATTCCTTTTTATTCCCCTGAACGTTGCTCTTTGTACGTCTCGTTTTAAAGTATTACCAAAGAATTTATAGGATATATTCCTTTATGTATTTCAATGTTTAAGAACAGAGACACAAACTCAATTTTCTAACTCATTCAGCAAATTGTAGCCAACTTTCAGACTTTACATTTATAATATTTAATCAAATATTGAGGCAAGATCAGACACCTGAATGCCACCATTCAGAACTTCACGGCATCAACTTCCATTATAGAAAATGTCCTGAGAACGTCTCTGCATTTCAGACCACCAGTTCTTGTCTGTGAGAGTTTGTGATGTTTAAATTAATATTTGCGGTTTGTCTTAAACCTCCCAAGTTCAAACTCTGAGGTCTTCACTTTGCTCCTGCCTCCAGCAAATCCAGCTGCTGTATAACTGAACTAATCTTCAGTCCACTGACCCTGGAGTGTCCGTGACCCATTCAGACACCCAGAGGATGACATCAGTCTGCTCTTCCACTCAGCCGCCTCCTGCTCAGGTTACTTCCACCGTGTGTGGAGAGGAGCACTCCTTTGCTGACAGCCCTCTGCTTCACTGCATCACTCTGCAGCAGGAGGCAGCTCTGCACCCTGCATGCAGGGAAATAATCCAGACAAGGCTCGAGCTAATATTTTGATCCGATCCCAAAAATAGCGCTAACATTAAAATCTTTAGGTCATTTCATGGTTTTAAAATTTAAAAAAAATCTTGTCATCAGCTCAGGGCGGTCAGAATTTTGGCAGAATCTAAAACAGGGAGGGGAGAAAAAGAGAACTAAGATATATTATTTAGGAGGTATTTCACCCTCCCCGTGCAAGCACTAACAAATTACAGGCTTTATTGACTTGATGAAACCTGCCCTGGAAGCCCTGTAGACTAGCAAATGGCCTGAACTGATCTCAAGTCAGATAGTTTAGAAATCCCAGTATGACTGAAACATTTTGTTTATCATAAAAACCTGACTGAAAGCAAGAAAACATGTAAAAAAAATTAACTACTAGCTGTCCAACATAACAAATTGGCAGCATTTAGGCACACCATCCAGCAGACACTGCGTCCATGGTTGGGACAGTCTGGAGTCAGGAGCTGATGGACCAACAGAAAGGTCAAAACAAGCAGAGCACAAAGGGAGACATTTTCGAAAAGCAGCTTTCAAATGATAATTAAACTCCACATTTGCAGGCCTATAATATAATTGTGCGGTTTGGGACGCCCTGGTGGAGACAAAGGGAGTGATGCTCTGGAACATCACCTGTCCTCCACCTCCTCCGGCAGAACCCCCCACAGCTAACAGAGACTCACCCAGGACTCCAGAGGAGCTCTGCTGCGGGGCAGAGCCCGGCTCCGGCCTCTCCGCCTCCCCCTGCTGCGCTCGGTGTCGGTGCCGGGAGCTCTCGGAGCCGTCGCCGGAGGAGGAGGAGGTGGAGGAGGAGGTGGCCGCCGCCGCCGCCGCGGCTGCAGCGCCCGCCGCTGCTGTCCCTGCGTCGGGCATGCTGCTCCCTATCAGCGAGGAGGAGCCACACAAGATGAAGGGATTCTCCGGGAAACTGTGCAGAGGTGTCGCATCTCAGAGGGCGGGCAGAGCATGGGGGTTCAGGGCGGAAGGCTCGAAGTGAAGTGAAGGTTTGTCGGTGCTCCGGAGCAGGA